CGTCCCTCCCGTTCGTAGGAACGGTTTTGGGAGTCTGCATCGTCCATGGAGGCATAAGTTCACCATTAAGGTCGTTGGCGAAGGTGAAAGTCGGTTCGGAAAGTGCCAGACTCGTCGTTCCAGCGATCGGTGTGGTAGGTGATCCCCAACCTTGATCTTCGAGAACAGCTGGGGGAGCGCGATCAAGTGAAGAAGGCGTCGTCGATTCATCTGCCCATTGTCGGCGAAGTAATTCCCGAGGATCCAACGTCGTATCGAGATTCGTTAGATCGGTTTGAGGACGCGAGAGGGCGATTTCGATCGCGGGCGAAGGGACGTCCGTGGGTTCACTCTCGGTTGTACGAGTTCGGCTGTGCGGAGGGAAGGGTGTGGAAGAGGAGGAGGAAGGGGATGATGGGGATCGTGCGGGTAGTTGAGCGACTTCGGCTCGGATCTTGTTGAGGTCGAAGCCGGAGGGAATGGCGGGAACGGCGGGAGCGGCGTTCGTCAAAGGTTCAGAAAGGGCAGGAGAGTCCCCATCGTGCGTTGATTCGCTATCATCGACGGTGGAGATGGACAGAGAGGACCGATTCGCCCTCTTGGACTTGAGGTCTCCAACACCGATATCCCCCGTATCAGACGACGCGCGATCAACCGAAGTCGAAGACGACGACGAAAGTCTCGGCGGTGTATCATCATATTCATCCTTCGACTGAGCTCTCGACATTGGTGCCGAATTCGTCGGTGTCGACTTCTTACTCCTCGAGAACAACCCGAGTACCTTCTTTCGCGATTTGCGTTCAAGCCGCTCTTGTTCTTCCGCGGCGGTGAGGACCTCGCGATCGGGCGCATCGGGTTCCATCTCTTCGGGTTCATCGAAGTGATCGGCGGTGACCTTGAAGCCGACGTACTTGAGCAAAGTCGGCATCAAGGTACGGTAACTCATGTGCCCCACGAGGATGTCGGTAATATCAACATTTTCGAGATCTGGAACGTGTTCGATCGGCCGTAATCCAGCGACGGTTTGCAAACCTCCTGAGGTGGCACGGAACAAATACCCGAGGACCCAATCGTTCATCGCGAAAGCATTGACGAATCGACCGGCGACGATTCCTCGAACTTGTCGCCACACCTTCATCGACGCCGTCACAGTCGCACCGAAAAGATACACCTCCTGAACGACACCGAACGCATTCGCCTTTGCTAGTTCAACGAGGGCGTAAAAGATGACGCGCGCGCCGAGCGAGAAGCCGACGAGGGATACGGGCCTCACACCGAGTTGTCGGTTGATGAGGATGTCGGCGAGTACAGCGCCGGCTTGGCGAGCGCGATCGAGAGCGTTCGACCAAGGGTTGTCGATGAGATAACTCAGTTTGGTGAGCACTGCAAAAAGACCAAGTATCCTTAATCAGCTGCAAGCGCACATAGATCGAGCTAGGTCCCAGCTCACTCACTCATGGGCCACTGCAGCGCGCTCATCAAAGCCGTCATCACCGTCAAGGCCAAGACTTGCTGCCCCGCCTGAGTCAGCACCTCAGTCGACAAGATTTTCAACGCATTCCCCGTATCCCCCATCATCTCCGGTTCCCATAACACGGAGAACACGTCCCCCATCAACGGATCAAGAGGACTGAACGGCAAGCGCACGTCATCGAGTGGACCATTCATGAAGCCCGGGATGGTGATAAGGAAGTTGACGCGCTTGTTGTTGTGCAAAGGGAGGAACTCGAACGTCTTGACGTGGCGAGTACGTTTGGCCATGGCTTTGCCTCCGATCGTCGCACCCGTCAAGGTCGCACCCGAGGATATGATCGCTGCTCCACCCGCGCCAGCGAGGAAGCCCGTCGTCCCGGACACTCCGACCGTCGTTAAAGCTGCTCCTAGACCGGCACCAATGACTGGCGCAAGTAGACCGGCCGACAATCCAATGACGAGTCCACCACCAAGCGTCGCCAATCCCATCATGACGTATCGCTTGTTCTGCCCCTTGACCCTTCGTTCCTCCAACACCTCGAGATGTTCCTTTTGCTTGACGTTCTCCTGAATCTCAAGCGCCTCGGTGAGTCGACGCTCGAACCGAACGACGTCGATCCATTCCAACCCGAGCTTGTCGGCGATCATGCACAAAAGGACGCGTGACCTCGCATCATAGACCGAGTCGGCAATCAAGGACAGGAAAAGGTCGCACAAGATCGTCCACCGGATATCGAGGGTGATCTCCTTGTCCGCGGTCGAAAGTTTGGTCGTCACACCGGGGAGGGAGGATGGCATCGGCTGCAGAAAGTTGTCGGGTTGATGCATCGAGAGTGATGGTGAGGACGGTTCCTCTATCGGAACGGCTTCGTTTTCGTCGGGTGCAACGAGGGCGATAGCTGGTGCACCGGCGGCGACGGTTTGTGAAGGCAGATTCGGCGGGGGTGGCGACGACGTGGAAGGCGCATCGTTCACTTCGCTATCTGCTGTTGTCGTACGACTCCGTGTCGTCGGACTGTCCAAAGCTCCTCCAATATCACCCTCGGCGCCGTCAAGGGCTCTCTGTCGACTCGATGGCGAGCCTGGAGGCGAAAATCGAGGCGAGAACCCTTTGGGAGACCCAAGAGATCGAAGTGAATGGGCCGACGACGACCGCGAAATGCGTGTGGGCGAGGAAGCAGGGGATCCAAACTCCTCAGCGAACGCTAGCGGATCCATCCGAGCAAGACTGGCCCGTCGTTCGAGTTTGGCCACCTCGCGCGCGACTCTGCCTTCACGTTCGACCCGGAGGTGCTCCTGCCGTGTCGCCTCGGCTTCGATCTCTATCCGCTCAGCTTCGGCCTGTTCCTCTTCTTGAGCTTTCCGTCTCGCTTCTTCCTCTTTCTTCCGCCGTGTCTCTTCCTCCTGCGCCTTTTTTCGCTCCTCCTCTTGCTCCGCTTCGTGCTCTCGTCGTTGCTCTTCGAGTTTCTCCTCCTCGGCCTGAGCGGCCTCGGGATCGTATTCAGGGTTGGTGACGGTATAGGTCGACATGAGGGATGGCGTGAGATCCTCGGCGGTCACGCCATGTTCGGCAAGTTGTTCGATCATGCGTTGTTCTGTCCGTGCGGAACCAGGATAAGTACGAGGGAATGAGGGCTCAAATTTTTAGCTTGTTGGCAGACTGACCAGCACCATCGACCTCCATGTGGCGATACAGCCTTCCCATAATTTTGTTGGACCAGGTCTTGCAACTCTCCCTCGCAGGTGCAAGTTCGGGTGCGCCCTTGGAAGCAAGCACGAGGGTCTGTACCATCTCGCGCGCGACGAGGCGACACAACCCGACGTAAGCGATCCTCTGCCCCTCGGTGAGCAAGGTCTTTGTCGTTTGCATCTGCGACAGAGGTGTCATGCCTTTATCCTGGTTGAAGAGGTATTGGGTGCGCATCGAGATTTCATCCTCGTCGGGATCGTCGTCGAGTTCGAGACGGGTGTAGTCCATCTCGTCGAGTTGCTCCTTCTCCTTCCACGCCTGTCCGCCGCTGTCGACGTCGATGAGCTTACCGGTCGCGTTGCCCCCTCCCGCGCCACCTGCGATCATGGACGCGGTCGAAGCTGAAGCCGACGGACCTGCGCCATTGGTATGATGGAAGAAGACGCCGAAGCAGACGACGACGAGGATGGTGCGATCCACGAGTCATGGCGTTGGACCGTGGTCGGTGAGATGCGATGATGGCTCCACTGCGCATTGCGGCGATGGGGCGCACGAACGTCGTCGTCATAGTCGTCGCGATGGCGTAGGGGGGACAGACTTGTGCCGGTCGAGTGAATGACGGGCATGTCCTGCCAGTCATCGTCGTCGAGGTCGTTCCATTTCGTCATGGTGGTCACGCTGGTCTACGAGTGAGCGGGCACAGTCACACGGTTCAAGTTTCAAGTCCCTTCCCCGGCCGGGCTCCCCAGTCTCCTAGCGACGTGTGCAGTAATGTTACGAGCTCGGATCCACTAACTGTGGATGAAGAGAGAGAGTGTGTGGATGTCAGAGGAAAGTTATGGTCGCTCAGTCGGGGCAGGAGCGATCGCTTCAGTGCGAGTGAACCTGAAACCCGAGGCTGAGGCTGGGCGGGTGGGTGTACCACTACTACACATCAGACCCGCTACTCGGTACTGACCCCACGCTGATCCGTCTCTCCGAGCCCCGAGTGACTCTTCGCGCGGCCTAGCCTGCAGCAGAGCCGGTGCAGCCCGACCAAGGACAGAAGGTGGGGGGGGGCGGGGGCGGCGCCGCGATCCGACTGCGCGTGAACGCGATCGGTGCGACCGGTGCTTGCGACCCAGCTGACGATCCTGGGCCAGATTACGAACCCTCTCTGGTGAGGGATGGTAGGTGTGAGTCCCAACGGAGGAGTCGGGTGTTGTGACACGCTGTACAAGCCGCCGATGTGAGCCTACAAGGACGAGGAGAGCGGCCTCTGAGCGGTCGCATCTCGACTTTGCCCGCGCGGCCGGCCCCAATCGGTAATAGTAATAGTTCCGGCAACGCCAACTCGGCCGTTGTTAGCAATCTGCCCCAATCGAAGCGAGAACGGTCGCGCTCGGTCGCGCTCGGCCGAGGTGAGCGAGGGTGAGCAGCGGTGAGCGAGCTGAGCGCGGTTACGCGGTCGAGCTTGTTGTACTGCTTGCTGTACATCGTCCACTCTGCCCAACACCTCCTACGATCGACGACCACTCGCCAGCCCGCTTCTAGCTCAGGCTCCGGCTCAGGTCCATCGAGCACCGTCCTCAAGCCAGGCCCTCGGGATCGATTGGTGCACACGCCGCCCACCTCTGAGCTGACGCGCTGACGCCGAACCTCTGCTCTGCACTGCACTGCACCCGCTCACGCGACACACCACCACCGGCACACGCACACGCACACGCACACGCACACGCACACGCACACGCACACGCACACGCACAGCAAGCCGTCGACGCCACTCGCTCCCACTTGTTACCGCCACCGATCTCGCGCACTCATCTCGCTCCTCCACCTCAGCTACACCGACCGTCTCCGCCTCCACCCCCCACCCGCCATGTCCAAGTCGTCGGCCATGTCGCAGAAGCGCATCGCGCGCGAGCTGCACGACGTCGCCAACAAGTCCGAGCTCCCCCAGGGCTGCACGTCAGTCGGCACCAACCCGGACACATGGCCTCTCTCATTCCATCTTGGCTGACCGCAGGTTCCGATGGTCTGCACAGCGCTGGACCGGTGTCGGATCGGTCGGTGCACGAGTGGGAAGCCACGATTGGTAAGACCCTTTTAAACCCTTCTGAACCGGCCACCGAGGCGCCTCGCCGAGTCAAGCACTGTCAAGCAACTGACCCCCTGCCCCTGCTCCAACCCACGTGCTGATCCGTTCAACAGAAGGACCGGTCAGTTCAACAGTACTCTACAACTCCCGCTCTGCCCTTGTTCGGCACTGACACCCGACGAAGCACCCCTTTCTCCTCTCCTTTAGCCCGGATCCGTACGTCGCATCGACCCATCACCCAGCGACCAACGTACTGATCCAACCCATCCCTACCCTACAGGCCTACGAAGGAGCATCTTTGACCTGTCCATCGTCCTGCCGCCGGACTACCCGTTCCGTCCGCCGAGGGTCACCTTCCTCACAAAGGTCTACCACGCCAACATCAATACCCAGGGAGGAATTGTGAGTAGACGCACAGAAAGCAATCTAATTGTTTTGACTGAACCCAAAGCTGACACGTTCTTGAACCTCCACACAGTGCCGTCAGTAGCTTCGGAGTCTTTCGTCGATTTGACCCTTAGCGAGGACTGAGCGTCGAATCTACATCTGCTCACAGTCGATATCCTCAAGAACCAATGGTCACCAGCTTTGTGCGTTATCCCAAGCCTCAGAATTGCTTTTCAACGTCGTATCGCTGACTCTCACACAAAAATACCTTCTCTCAGATCCATCATCAAGTACTTCTCTCCGTGTCGTCCCTTCTGGCGGACCCGAACCCACGTCAGTCCCTACCCCATATCGTGTGCCAAACATGCCTTTTGACATCGTTCCCTGTTCATTCAATTTTTTAGACGATCCTTTGATGCCCGAGTAGGTCTCACACCGTATTCGTAGCGCAATTATGGTCGCCGTCTGACGCTCGTTTTTGACGTACAGATCGCGCAGCGCTTCCTCAAGGATCGGAAAGGCATGACAAGACCGTCGGGAATGGACCAGTAAGCTTCACACTTTCCAAGGCAATCATCGAAAGTGTACTCAAGCACCACGACTCACACGAACGAGCTACATTCACTCATCCGCAGAGAACACGCACGCCCCAAACCGATCGAAACGATCGAACTCGACGAGACCAAGGCGCCCAAATCCAAGAGCAAGCAGCCTATCGAGGTCATCACATCGACTGATTGGACGTTGGATCGTCGTTTGTCGTTCCAGTTTGCATCCTTTTCGGACATTTCTTGCATCCCTTCGTTGCTTTACGTATCCTCTTTTGGCCTTTGTCACTTGTACCACCCTTGCGCGAACCCTTTTTGCAAACTATCGATCCCTGTCATCTCTCTCCTTGCTTTGCGTGTCGTTGTACCTTCGTGGGCATGGGGTCACCTTTTCGCGATAATTGGGTACGATAATGATATTCCTTCCATCCACTAAGCCAAAGGATTCTACCAAGATGATCCGACGACTCATTCCTCTTCCCCCAAGTCCTCCAAAACAGATCCTGATCCCACCCCTTCTTCCTCCACTACCACACCTCCCCGTCTTCGATCCCCCCCGCTTCTGCAGCCTCCGCCATCGTCAACCCCGAAGTCGAACCCGACCCCGAGCCCGCAAAGAAACTCGAATTCGAAAATGACCCCGATCCCGAACCGAAGAACGCCTCATGCTGCTGTGTGAAAGCCGAAGCCGAAGCATAAGAAGATGAAGCAGCAGAAACAGCTTTTCCTTTTCCTTTTCCTTTTCCTTTGCCTATGGAATTCGTAGCTCCGAGTGGTGTATGGGCATCGTCGTGGTGGGAAGTGGTTGGGTTGGGGAACTGTACGTGGGTTTTGGCGAGTTGTTCGGCTTCCTTTTCGGGGAGTATGACGGCTTGTAGCCATGCGAGAGCGACTTCGGCGCGGGCGGTATTGTAGGTCGCATCTGGGGAACACGGGATCCTATCAGCATGAAAGGAATCTACTTCATCTAAGGAACTACGACCCCAGCCCGTCACTCACAAGAAGGATCGATCTTCCTCCTCTCCGCATCAGCCTTATCCCTCTCTCCTTCCAACTCCCCGTCGTGTTCCCCTGCCCCTTGGCCTCCTCCTCCTCCTCCTCCTCCCATACGTAATCTCCTTCGCCTTACCCATCCCCAGGCCATTCTCCAACCCCAACAGCTTCCTCCTCTCCCCACCGCCCCCTCTTTCTTCGCCACGAAAGCCTGTCTCTCCCTCTCCGCCTGCCTCACGAGCGCCTCCACAAATTCCGTCGAGAAGAACCCACACACCTGATGCAAACAAGCCAATTCGTCTTCCCACGCGCCAACTCCACTTCCGTCACATCCAAATCCGGTGCTGCGATTCCCGAACTCTCGCGAGCGATTCTCCAC